CCCCCCCCCCCCCCCCCCTTCTTTTTTTTTCTTTTCCAAATCTACGCCTTGCGATGGGGGAAGGAGGGAATGGGGGAAAAAAAAAGATATACGAAAGCATCTGGGTGAAATTTTTTTTGAGTCGGGCCGGGACCGTATAGTAATGAAGCACGCAACGGATGCCGGAGTTTGAGGGCTTAGAGAGGGTGTCCTTTCAGGGAGTCTTGGTTTTTTTGGCAGGCAAGGTGTTTTCTTGGGTGTTGGAAGGGAAAGGGGATTGGAAGGGGGGTTGGGGGGAACGGAGGCGGGGGGGCGGCGGAGCAGCGGCGTCATCAATACCCTACCTCGTTTTTTTTTTTGCACCCGCTTTTATTTTTTTGGGCTTTCTGAGTTTATGGGGGAGAGAAGAGGGAGAGGGTTGGATGGGTTGTGTTTGAGGGTTTCTTTTTGCTTTTCGTTGTTGTTACTAGATGGATGAGATGGGGCTGGAGCTGGGCTGGGGAGGAGGAAGGAGGGGATGTAGGTTGGCTGCTTCCTTCCCTTTCCTTTCCCCCCTTCCCCCCTCCTTCTCCCCGTTTTATGCGAAGATCATGATGTTCATTTTTTTTGGCATTTAGCGTGGGTTCTGTTTTTTTTTGTTTTTGTTTTACACTTTGGGCATGTGTGTGTGGTGTGTCTTATTCATACACACACATACACTTTTGTTCTTTCTTTTCTTGCCATCATCATCATATCTTTTTTTTCTCGTTCAATCATCAGTCTCTGTTACTTGCTCTGTTTTAGTCATGGCTTTCCTGGCTGCTATTGTTGTTGTTTTTTCCTTCTTGTTACTTTTCTCCCACATCATCGCGACTTTTACACGATTGCATTGCGTTTTCGTTCGTTGCATCTGGGAGAGGGAAGCATTGTGCGGGGATGGTTGGTGGGCATCTTTTCTTGGGAGCATCTCTTGCTTTAGCGTTTTGCTTGTTTTTCTCGTTTGCATGCATATGAAAGAGTTGTTTATGCAGAGAAAAATGCGCATCTGGTTCCCCGCCTCCCCCCTTTTCCCTTTACTACTGTGGGAAGTGTTCGTTCTGCGGCATAGGCATTTTTGGGAAAGGTGGGGGGGTGTTTAAAACATTTGCTATAGCGTTTGGTTTTTTATGGATCACGAGTGGGTTTACACACGTCTCATGTTTCTGGTTTGCGTTTCTGTTTCATGGGCATTTTTTCATCTAACTAGACTTTGTTTTTGTTTTTTTTTTTCGTTCTTGCGTATATATCTATATACACACATGCTGCAAAAATGGTATATAACTAATGATGTTTCTTTACAACGGGGCACAACTTGTTTTGAGAAACAATCATGTTGGTTTTGCATAGCAGACATGTATGGAATGGAAAAGAATCGGTCGTAGAACACTTGCAGACAACCCCCCTCCCCCAACAATTAGGAAGTACCATGTTCAGCTCAACAAAGTTCAATGACATACCCAAATCACTCAAGCGATTCAAGTTTTTTCCTTCTTGACACGTCCACCCCGGCCAAGTGTATGTCGTCAGGCATTTCCCTGGCTGCAAAGCAGGGAGGGGGGCAAATAAAGATGTGGCGGTGAACATGGACACAACAGTCACACACACACACACTGAAGAGACAAGACCTGGCAAGGTTCGTTTCTCGTCTACCCCAGAATGGCCCTTGCTGGTCTTGGGCCCCAAACTAAGCGGTGCCGATGACGTAACGGCGGGCGATGCAAGTCTCGAGAAGTCGGTCAAGCAGCGTCTACGTGGCCGACGCTGAAGGGAGGTTGGGAGGGGTTTGTGTGTGTGAGTGTGTGTAGAGGGGGGGTAGCTGCGCTGTCACCGCTTCCCATGAAGCAGGGGTGTGGTGGGTTTGCGCGCGCAGCCAGGGCAGTTTGCTCTAGAGGCGACGCCATGGTTGAAGAAAAAATTTTTCCGACGCCAACATTAGAAAGTATGCGTGTGTGTGAACATGTGTGGTAGGCTCTCAGACGTGTTTGGGGGGGGGGTCAGGGAGGGGGGGTGTTGCAGCTAGGAAATTGGGAGGAGGGTGTCGAGTGCGTTGGCCAGTGGACTGCTGACAGGGCTGTTACCACTGGAGACATGTGAGGGGCTGGTGATTGGGCGGGCTCAGCGAGCAGAAAGAGAACAAGTGCGGGTTGCATGAACGGTTCGCTGTCCTTGCATATGGTGGCTAGGGGTTAGGCTATTTTGGGAGGGGGGCGTGGATGGGAGAGTGGTGTGCTGGAATGGAAGATGGGTATGTGGGTGTGTGTGTCATGGTTCTTGCAGGCTGGCGTGAGGGTGTTCAGCCCCGCAAAAGCAAAGATTGCACGGCTGGTCTTGCGCGGCCCTGCCATGTTTGAGCCGTGTAGGGCTGGCCGGCTTATCGATAGCAGAAATGAGTGCGCCCTCCCTCCCAAGCGCAGGTGCAAGCGCAGGCCCGGCCTGAGTGGCCTTGGGCGACGACTTGCTCGTCATCCCATGTCCCATCAGACGGCGCCCTGTTTTGTTTCCTTTTAGCCTTCTTCTCCATCTTGTTCTTGTCCTTGTTCTTCGGCGGCGGCGGCTGCTTCCTTGTTCCTCGGCGGCCCCCCTTTCTTCTTCGTATCCCCTGTTGCTGCTCGCTTCCTCGCCGTCGCCCTCCCATGCCATGCCATGGCCAAAGCTGCCGGGGCCCAGTGAGGCACAAGGCTGATGGATGCCATGGACCGTCGGTTCCCGCCCTCGCCCACGGTCGGCGGCCGTGAACGGGCTTGAAACAGGCTAGCAGACAGGCCCATGGCAGAGTTTGTGCCCCGGGCGTCAGGCCATGCACTCTGTGGCCGGGCTTGGGGGTTCTTTTGTTCTAGAAGGCCGCTAGCATGACAAGTGTGTGTCCCCAACCACAACCACCCCCTTGCACGGCATACCCGTCGCCCGCTCCCCCAGCCGTCGTCGTCACAACCTCAGGCATAACCAAACGCACACGCCCACACCAATCCCATCGTCAATGCGTGCACCATGACGCCAGAAGACGGCCGACGGACAACTTGCGACGGCTTTTGCTTCGCTCCTGTCCTGTCCTGTCCTGTCCTGTCCTGTCGCCCCTCGTCGCCTCAAGTCGCCCTCGACGCACCCAGCTGATAAAACTGTTTCCCCCGGCTTGGCCCTGCATGCGCCCAGTACTGTTCGCATGATCCGAACCACCACCTGCCAGCCTGTGTAAACGCCCGCCGCTGCCATCGGAATCCTTGGCGGGCCGCGTTTGGGTGCATGGTCAAGTGGTAGTCTATCGTCGCAGCAGCCGCCTGGGTATGGCTATGGTATGGCCATGTACGCCTGCTACTATATCTATGCGTGGACGTGCACCCTGCGCATGGTCCAGACAGACGCCGTATCTACTCTACTTGCTCTCTCCATGTAAGCAGGCCAGGCCACCAACCACCCATCCACCACCACCACCATGACACGACCACGACACGGCTTCTCTTCCCTGCGCCTTCGAGAAGCCTTCCTATCTAGGCACCCTTGAATTTCCTACCTGTTCGCCAACTGCGACTCATGCCACCGCTGCACATGACGACACCCTTTCACTGCACGCCCAGCCTCACCACCGCCTCTTTCTCCTCCAGCCCCGCCATGGCTGTCCTTGCCTCGCTAGCCAGGGCGTTCCCGTCCAGCCTACCGCACCTTTTTCTTTCCTCGCGTCCGTCACATGACCATTACCTGGCCCCTTGCACGCGCACACACACACACACACATACGCACGCGCACACACCCCATCCTCGTGCCTGTGCCTGCAATCCTCCTTTTTCTTCTTCCCCTGCCGTGCTTTTGGCTTCGCGGACATGGACCCGCTCGCCGGTGGATGGATGGATGGATGGATCCAGCACGCGACTTTCTGATCGCCCGGGACCGCTGATCGGGCCCAAAACCCACCAAGGGGCATCCAAAGCCGTTCCATGTCGCAACCACCACCATGCCCACCAGTCATGAACCATGCCTCCAGGTGCCCTCCCCCACCCACACGTTTGCTCTCCTCTCCTCTGCTCTCCCCATTGCATGCCCTTTCTTCGCGCTCACGCTAGCGCTCAAGCAGAAGCTCGTCTCAGGAAACATGCACCCGTCCTCCGTTCAATTTCGGCACTGCAACGGGCAAATTTTGGCTTGCACCCAGCCCTGTTATCCACGGCATGCCCGTTCACCCACTGCCTGGGTGCCCCCCCCCCCAAAAAAGCATACCGTTGCATCGCCGTTACCGCCTACCCTGGAACGTCACCTGAAGCGTCGCAATGCATGCTTTTTGGTCGATAAAACCCATCCAACAATGGCATATTGAGTCGCGCACGCCTCGCAACACCCCGAGGCCCCCCGGCGTGCCACTTGCATCAAAAACCACGACTCGTTCGGCACAATGCAATGAGTTCTGCACTGAATTGCTCCCAGGCCCTGCCCGGCGTATTGCAGCCGAAACAGTCTTTGTGCCTTACATGCTACACTGGCCCCACGCCTTCTACGCTAAACTATCAATAGCTCAAAGGACCGCGCTTGCCTAAATATCGCCGATCGAGTAGTTCGCTGCCAGTTCATCGGAACTTAATCAGGAAGCTAACCGCTTAACTCGCCGAATCCGTTCATGCCTCCAAATTGGCGCACCAACACGGCGATTCGTGCATCTACTTAGTACCTCGGATACCAACGCCGGCATTCCCCGTGCACAACCAAAACATGTCGTCAACGGCGTCGATAGGTCCAGACTAGGAAATCCACGACTGCCATAGTTGTCGGACCGTCGTCAGAAGGGGGTTATCCTTGCGACGAACGACATGATGAGACAGCGGCCGGTACGTATGCTTAGGAGGGTTATTATTTTAGGGCTGTGCGGCCTCAAAATGCAGGCCGAAACTGGCCATTTCGCTCGTTGAAACTAACAAGCGACAACAATCCAAATACTATCTTCCATTCTGATGACCAAGACAACCCACGCGACTTCAGCTCGACCAACAAGGAGACAAAAAAAACTTGTTGTTTTCAAACGTCATTGTAGTTTCAGCGACCCACCGCTTGTCCTCTATGTTTGTTGTAGTGGCCAGTTGTTCCATAGAGGCGGTGTCACGCAGCGCCACAAAAGCCTCACTACTTTCAAGCCACGACAAGGCCATGTCAGTCTGACAATTCCCCCAAGGTTCCGCCTCAAGACGCCCCAGTCGCCTGGCTCTCGCTCCGTAATCTATCTTGGAAGCACTGCGAAATCTCTCTACTCTGTTAAGCCCACAAGCGTCGCTACTACCCTTCTCGGCGCCGTCGCTCTGTCAGTCTCCATCTTCACCGGAAGGGAAACTACGCCAGGAACGTTCGTGTAGTAGGCCTGCGTGATGCAGGGCCCCGCCCGCCCGGCCTATCTATCCACACCGCTTCTCACCGCCTAGGCTAGACAACCTACTTTACTTTACTTGCACTTTCCATGTGTTTCTCTGCATCCTCTCCACTAAGCTGGAAATGATGCCCTCGCTACCGGAAATGTCCGTTTTTGTGTCACGTCCATGTCGCTGCTGCTAGTTGCCGCTTGTGCATGTCATGCAAGGTCTTTGCTAGAAGTTGGGACGTACATATGTTGGTGGCTGCATGTAGTACTATCAGCTTGGTATTTGGTATAGAGGCGTTGAGGCTGAGTTACACCGCCTTGGAGGTGTACACCGCTTGAATATTGAGGTGAGTGAGAAGAGTATGCAGAGAGTTTGCAGTCTTTCGTCTTTGTCGAATTGCTGGGTGTCCGCTGTGATTCTTGCCTTCTGAATTGCTCATTGTGATATTTCTCTACATCGTATATTCCAAATGACAGAGCAATGATTCCAACATTCACACCCTTCATGAACAAAAGTAGTATCTAGAAAAGACTAAATAACATCTTACACCATGACTCCCTCCTATCCTGTTGACCACCCTCCTAGCCACTGCAAAGTCCTCAACTATAGTCCCAACAAACAAACAATTCAACACCACAATCTCAAACCCT